AGATATGTGGAGGAGGAGACTCTTTGACAACAATCTAGGTTGTAAATTGAAGACTATAAGAGTTAATAAATATTAACACTGTAAAAACAACACTCACTGCACACTGAAAAGTGTTAAAGGTAACACTGAATGGTGTGGTCACATATAGACACCATGCAGTGTTAATTTAACACTGGCACATTTGCTGTGTAGATTGTAAATAGTTCGCAGTAATCGCTTGTGTGATTATAAATGTGCTGTGTGTTATCTCATGCATAGTGCATGGTTATATGTTTATTGTTGTATGTAGTGTGTGTGTGTGTGTGTGTGTGTGTGTATATATATATATATACATATATATATAAAATATATGTGTGTGTGTGTGTGTGTGTGCATGAGGAGTAAACAGGGCGATGAACATGGTGGGCAGTGCGAGGTTTGTAGTAGTACAGATGTAATAAACACATTCTGCTGATTGAACCCCAAACTATCTCTGCTGTCCAATTATTGAGAACATGGCTCAGCGACCCACTATTACAATATTATAAATAATACCTTAGGCATATTTAACAGTGCAATACTGTGCCATTTACATCTAACGATATCACACCTGTCTGTGACAGAGAAGTCAACCCAAGACCAGGCTCCACCCCTGCCATCATTACATTTTTAGCATTTAGCAGATGCTCTTACCCAGAGCAACTTCCATTATTCTTAGCTCCCCCTGGAGCAAGTTGAGATTAAGGGTCTTGCACAGAGACCCAGTGAAGGTAGAGCTAGAGGTGGGACTCAAACCCACAATCTCTTGGTCTAGAAGGAAGCATCCTGACCACTAGACCACCAACAGCAGTCAACCTCCTTATTGTGTCATTTCCACTTTCTTCCTGTGAACTACAAGCTCCCCCAGGTCACCTGGATGCCTAGCCTGTGTATTCTTTAGGCTATTAAGCCCACTGATTCATTTATTTTAAGCCTATTTTGTGTGGAACGCCATTGCCAAACCTGTCCGTTGTTGCCTATATGCTGCTTAAAAATAGATATTTTCTGAGTGGTAATGTTGCCCTCATATATCTTTTTGATATAAGGCTTCGGTTTAAGGTGACATTTGTTAGGCATGCAGATTATTTGTCCCTCTTTTAAACTGGAGCGAGCGTTGAGCGATTTGACTGGAGCGGGAGGAAATTTTAGTGGAGTATGGAGCGGTGTTGAGCGGAGCGGTTTAGTGCGAATTAGAGCGGGGAAGCGGGCGGAGCCAACAGCCTCGTGAGCGAGGAGCGGAAATTCTCACTGCTCCACTCCGCTCACATGCTCTGATACAAAGCCTCATTAATAATTTAGCCATGCTAAGCTGCTTAAATTGTGGGCGTAAATAAATGTCCGTATAGCACAGAAAAGCTGGCGCACTGCCAAATGTTGCGCCTGTCATCTGAAGCCCTAGTGATTATTGCGCATGCGCGATATAATATCGATATGATATCGCCCAGCGCTAGTGTTTATAAACAGAGGTGGAAATTTCAGATCCAGAAAGTACAAATCCAGACCGTGATTTAGTTTCAACTGACCAGTTGTGCATAAAGAGTCACAGTTACAGAGTACTCCACTGGTTGGTTGAAACAAAATCCTGGTCTGGAATCGTACTTTTTGGACCTGAAATTTCCACAGACCTTGGCCAGTACTGGCCCGATGCAGTTATTAATGCTATGATATTTTGCATGGATCTGGCTCAGATCCGTGACTCAAACTTTACATCAGGGGCTCATCTGGCCCTGGTCTGTGATTGGTGATTAATTTTTTCAGCTACACCTGGGCCGGACATGGCCCAAATAAATCCCCACACATTTCTCATCTTCAAAACAGTTTATTTTAATTTTTTTTTACATTTCTGAATCTCAATCTCATCCAGAGAACACATAACATTTTTTATTTGTCATTACAAAAACTCCAGTCATATGAAAAATGTAAAAATATAAAAAATATATTCAAAAACATTGTGACAAGCTTGCATGGAATAAATTGTTTAATTCAATATCAATTGTATTTATTAAAAAATGCAATAATTAAAAAAAAAATATATAACGAATTTACGTGTGTGCGGAGACCAAGTGTCAAATACATTGAAAATAACAGTCAACTTACATGATTGTTTGGATGGTTAAAGGAAAACAGGTGATCAGCAAAAGTTGGAGCCAGTGAAACCAGGTACAGGTGTGAACATAAAAAGTACATTTGTTTTTACTAATCTCTGAATATACAATGATCTGTGTTTGTGTGTGTGTGGTGGTATCTTACTTGGTCTGTCACTGAAGAGTAGGAAGTAGCACGTCTGAAAATGAACTGGGAATACAGTTTTCAGACTATACGATAGAGGAAAGGAATTCAACATTTGTGCTGGATGATATTGGTGGTGCCTATAGAGTGTCATTTCTAAATCTTAATGCGTTATTCGACAGGGCATCAGGTGGAAATAAAGATCAAGCAACAAGTTTCAAAATCAGGGTACAGGTGCATTCTGTGTCTCAAAATGTGACTGTATGTATGTGATATAGCTGGTTACCTGCAAGAGATGATGGGTGGCTTGACCTCAACTTGACTAGCATCAGCAGATGGAATGGAACAAAACCTATGGAGCACAGTTCAAAGTAATAGGAGACATTTAACTACTCAAAAAAAAACTCAGTAACACTGCTGCAAAAATGAGAATCTGAATTTGAAATGAACAACAAGTAAGAAACTGAAAAATGGGGGAAAAATACACTTAATGTTTCACCTCATAGATAAAATACACTTCAAATCTAAATAAACATATTTGTTCAAACACTATCAAAATTAAATCTGAAAAAGATTTTATGCTAACACTAGCAATAAACGTTATGCAAAAATTTAACTAAACGAAGTTTGCTGATTTATCCAAAAACCGTGTAAACAGGGTCCCATCAACTGGGCCTACTAAGTTTAAGCAACTTTAAGTAACGTTTGCATGCTAACGAGATGAATGAACTGGAAGACACAAACAGGCTTGAAATGAGCTTAGATAATATTTACTGTCAAGTTGGTGACACTGAACCCAAAATTAGAATTTTACACAGACGTACAACAATATTGCCTGCATCTCATTGGACATAACATCCACGCGAACAGAGATATTCACCAATTTTGATAACAGGCTTTCACCACAATCGCCAATTCTTACTTTAAGCCTACTTTCGCATTAGTTATGTTTTTTAATCGCATGAATGGAACTATCAGCTATATGTCAATCTGATGTCAATCTTAATATAGTTTTATAATGCACTTACTAAGAACCACAAGCAGGTCTTCACTGCTTGTTGTGTGACTCTTCAGTTAACTCTTACTGAGGTACATACACACGCATCTGCGAGATTTAAAAAAGCACAGGTCCGCCCCTGATCAGATACGGACCTTTCTGACGGACTGTCAGTCAGAGGTTGCAGACAAATATGCTGCAAAGCTGGCGCAGAGGTGCATAGTGAGTGTGACTGCTACGCAAATCTCGAGAATCGAAAACAGATCCAGCACAGAGGGAATTGCTGTCTGGGTTGGTCGTCCCACAAAGTGACGACCCCATTCATTCACCTCCCCTGTGCCTTATTGCCAGTGATTTAACCCTCAGAAATCTGACGCCTCTCAGCTACGTTCGGGGTAGTCTGACATGCCTTGACATTTTAAAATATTTCACCTATCTAAAAAACATTTATCCCAGCACAAACTCAGCACCAATAATCTGAGACAACTTTGAATGTTATTATTCTGTTTTTAACCAACTTTAAACATATGCTTTTCAAAAACCTATTTTCAGACATGCTGGGAAATTGTAAAAAATCACATTATAAACATTTCTAGCCCAGACTTTTGAGCTCTGAAGCTTATAGACACAGGGGTTGGCCTCACATTGGTGAGTAAGACATTGTGAAATTTTATGTGGTTTGATTTCTAAAGTGTTAGAACTTGGAAGGATGCTATTTTTTTCAAAGTCAGTGGCCTGCACAATGAATATTGATGAGATAGGTGTCCCCACACCTGTAGCAGTTTGCATACTTTCAATGGCCCATCAGTTCTGGTTTTCCTCTCAGACCCTAGAACACACTCCCAGGCTCAGATTCCCAATCCCACATCCCGCTGTAGCCCTTCCCAAGATCCGACACCCGTTTTGTATTCCTGTTTCTTTCCCTCGTTCTTATGGCAAAATGACACTTTGCCTTTTATGCATTCCCAGTGTTCTGTTAAACAGTAACTAGTGTGATTGCAAAGCAAACACTGTCCTTATGCATCGCTTTTAATTTTCTAATTTTTGTCACGCTTATCCTCCTACAGTTTTTGAGATATCGACCCCAAACCAAATTCCACTCATCTGTCCTATACTTGACGGATGTGCTTGCATACAGCTTTTAGATACCTGCACTCATTCCCCAGATTCTGTCATTTTCTTTTCTTACATTTTCTTGAGCCCATAGGATAACCTGGGATTTTGGAATCAAAGGCCTGCAACTCGCTCACTTTGTGTCCCTTTGCCACCAAACTCCATAGGTCACCTCAGAACAGGCAGACAGAAATGGACCCACACTCGTTTTTTTTCCTGCTTTTTCCCATCATCCCTCCATCCCTGACATTCTAATTCAGGCCATACCTGCCAACATGAATTGAAATCTGACTCATTGTTTTGTCGTTTTTCTTTATCCCTCCATCCTTCCATTGGCCGCCATTATTTTTTCAGAGGCTCTTACCACTCAGACACTGAACATGCCACAGCCAGCAAACTGCATCTGCAGTCTCAGGCCAAGTCAGTGACTCCTCACTGCAGGATGAATACACCTGCACTCGTCTTTTTGTCATTCTTTAATTTTTGCTGCAAAAATCATTTTCGTCAGGAAATACACTCTTCTAGTTCTTTCTCAGATGCCTGATCAAAGTATTGCACAAATTGAATATATACTGTAGTGTATTAGAGATCAGAGAGACTGTGATGTTAAAATTGTAAATTCAGTTGGTTATTTTCCCTGCAGGTGCTGACAGTGAGTCCAGAAGGAGACAGGTGTCTGTGCTGAGTGGAGGATCTGTTACCATCCCATGTTTCTATGGTGACAGATATAAAAGACATGTGAAATACTGGTGCAAAAAGAATGATAGGGATGCATGTACTCCCATAGTACACAGTAACTCTCCACAGGAGGGTAAAGTGTCAATCAGAGATGATCCTGACCAGCGAGTTTTCACTGTGACCATCAACAATCTGACAACTGGGGACTCTGGTTATTTCCGGTGTGGTGTGAAGATCAGTGGAGGTTCAGATGATGGAGATCAGGTTGTCCTGTCAGTGACTGATGGTAAGATGTCTGTACAAAACACCCGATCACACTATTTTCATGCATGTATGTCTAACAAGTATAAATTCTAAATTTTATTTTACAATCTGCAGTAACTATAAAGGATCTTGCTTCAAATACGTAAAATATTTTTTTTATGGATTGACATCAGTAGTAATGTTGTTTAGCAGGACATTCTTAACAGTCGTTTCATTACAGTGCAATTAAACTTTACTATTACTATGTAGAATAGGGTCTAAATGTATGGTTTGTTTAGGATGGTAAATGAGACCTGGGAGAAGTAACAGTGTCAGTTTAAATGGGCTACATCAGGCGGTCAGGAATGATAAGTAATGTGTTAAGTAATATCATTTTATTAAGGGTTAAGTGAGTTTTAAGTGTAAATTTAATGGAAAAGTGTAAATATAAAAGTCTGTAAAATAGCATAAATGTGGCTGCTAGTTACTGATATTTGTATTATAAATATAAATTTATATACATCAAAACGAGAAATGGTCTCTGTATGCTAATTATGAAACTAAATCAGCAGTTAATATTTATTACAGTGTTTTATTTTTTATAAATATAGTAACATTCAAAGCAACATTCACCAAAACACATTTGAATATTCTATAAAGTAAAGTACTGTAACCTACAGTAGGCTGGTACTGACTCTTTATTAATACAGTGGTACCTCGGTTCTCGAACTCACTAGAACTCGAATTTCTTGAAAGTCGAACAAACCAGATTGACCTAGAACTCAATCTGAATATCAGAAGTGGAACCGTGAACGTTGACCTAATATAAATTGTACGCGACAGGAAATGAGTCATACTACAATACAATTCATACTTGAATGCCTTCTTCACAGACTGGACAATTAATCAAATAAAGCAGCGCAACATTACAGTAACTAACAATAAATAAACCACTAACTTACGTGTACTATTAGAGCATTTGTGTCATTCATTTAAACTTTATTTTACCAGGTAAATTAACTGAAAACCAGTTCTCACTGCTTTACGTGATATTCGGGAGAAATAGCAGATTACGCATCGGAACTGCTTGGGATGCAAACGTCATGCGTGTAACTAAACTCTTCAGCCAATAAGGGCAAAGGTATGTCATCACGGAGGCGGTTCCAGTTTGTGCAGCCGGGTGAGAGGTCGCAATGCATCTAACCGTAATGCATTGCGTCAGGATCATTCAGAATGCGTTTTAAGCCAGCGCTGTAAGCAAGTCGAACACACCGAATGACCGGACTGGGGAAACAAACTGAAACGCGGACTTAATACAGAGGACTAATGACAACAACCAGAAACAGCTGATCACATGGGGATCCCACATGAGGTTAATGAGGGGGCGTGGCACACGGAAGGAGCGGACGATCGGGGCAGGACAGGGGTAATGTTGGGATAAGATCTTTATCGTTTTGGAAGCCATTAAGAAAAAAATCCTCTTCTTGTTTTATCCTGTTCATTTTGTGTTTAAATGCTAAAAAAAATAAAAATGAAAACATATTTAGGTGTAATTTTCAGGGGCCGGGAACCAATTAATTGGTTTTCCATTATTTCTTATGGGAAAAATTCGATCAGAACTCGAACTTCTTAGGATTCGATCCGGAGTCCGGAATGGATTAAGTTCGAGAACCGAGGTACTACTGTATGTGTATAAATGGTGTAAGAGAGAGTGAGAGTTAATCAGCTTGCTAATTTTCATACTGTCCCTGCAGGTGTGTCCACAGTGAAATGGATGCGTGTACAGAGAAGAGGATCTGTTACCATTCCATGTTTCTATAGTGACAGATATAAAACTCATGTGAAATACTGGTGCAGAGGGAATAATAGAGATTCATGTACTCCCATAGTACACAGTGACTCTCCACAGGAGAGTAAAGTGTCAATCAGAGATGATCCTGACCAGCGAGTCTTCACTCTGACCATCAACAATTTCACACATGGGGACTCTGGTTACTACTGGTGTTGTGTGGAGATCAGTGGAGCCTCAGATCCTGGAGATTGGGTTTCCCTCTCAGTCACTGATGGTGAGATGTTTGTACTGCAGACTGTAGCCAATGAGATGCACAGTATGTAACATGTCATTCAGCCTGAAAGGAAGGACACAAACACAAACACTGAAGGAATAAATATTTTAATATTTTAAGACTTAATTACAATCTTAGTTTTGCACAGTAACATAAATGTGACCTGGGAGATGTAACAGCCTCCGTTTAAATGGGCTACTTTAGGGGATAAATAACATTAGAAATATGTTTTGTTCAGGTTTTGATGCATATAAAAAGTACAGATAAATATTAAAATAAGCATGTTGTAACTTGGTCATATGCATGAATATTTTACAGCTGTATAAATAACAGTGTTTCATTTGTCCCTAATTTGCATATTCAGGTTCCTCAAGGCTGTCAGTGGACAAACAGGAGGTGACGGGTGTGGAAGGAGACAGTGTCAGTGTTCAGTGTCACTATGGATACAGTGTAAATAAGAAGCTGTGGTGTAAGATCGGGGGCACCTGTGTGTCAGAGAGATCTGGGAGCTGGGATCTGGATGGGAGGCCTGTCCTGATCAGGGATGACACAGGAAATAGAGTCTTCATTGTGACAATGAGGGGACTGGAGAGGAAGGACACTGGCTGGTACTGGTGTGATGCTGGAGGCTTGCAGATCCCAGTTCATATTACTGTCAAACTAATAACCATCACTGAATGTAAGTAATTAATATAAATCTGGCTGTGAATGTGTTTCAGTACAAATAGCCAAACAACAAATGAAGCAGTTTCACCCATGAAGGGAGTCTGTGCTTTTTATAGGGATAATCTGTGGGGGGGGGGGGCTGTGTTTCTTTAAAGTCCCCTATTGATAACTTTTGCTGAACAAAGATATTTATTGGGATTAAAGGCTCTGTGCTAGTGGCACAGTGGACCAGTAGGTGGCGCTGTTACTTCACACCTCCATGTTTAGGGGTTTGAATCTGGCTTCTGCTCTGTCTGTGTGGAGTTTGCATGTTCTCCACATGCTGTGTGGGTTTCCTCCCACAGTCCAAAGACATGCAGTCAGGCGAATTGGTGTCTCTAATAGAGAGAGTGTGTCTATGTGCCCTGTGACTGACTGGCATCCCGTCCATGATGTCCTCCATCCCTGTGCCCTGTCCTGCCTGGGATAGGCTCCAGGCCCCACATCCCTGACCAAGACAGAAGATAGATGGGTGGATGGCTGTTAATGTGTCTGTATGAATGAACTGAAAGATTAACGTTAAATGCCAGCATTACCTCTAGGGAGACATCCCATAATACAGTTGTGATGACCTGCACCAAGAGGAATTCCTTGTACACTTGGTGAAAAATAAAGATTCTGATTCAGATTTAACTATACATACATGCACCGGTTTTCTTATTAATTTCCTGGCCAATACATTGTATATAATCTAATCCTGCTATTAGTATGTAATTCATTCCTGCCCAGATCCCTGACACAGAGTTAGAGGCAGAATTCCATGCTATCAGGTCCTGCTCTGTACCAAATACACGAGTGTCTGATCTGTTTGTTATACCTGGAGCTGTACTGAGCCCTCAGGAATCAGCAGCTTCTAGGTCAGGATGTGTCTGTATAATGAGACACATTTCACAGGATGTTGCCACAGACAGTCATTCGTTTCCATATTACAGCCATTTGTTATGTATATAAATCCAATTACAAAATTGTTACAGAAGGTGTGCAGACTGGCTGATGTGTCTGTAGGTGGTTTCAAATTGCAGCAGAGGACCTTTTCTTAAGAGTCTCTAGTGACTTACAGAACAGGGCTTTTTATTTGTAAATTAAGAATCCTTTCTCCTGTTTCCACTGCTGTCCTTCTCTCAGCACATGAAGAAGATGGAGGGAATAATGATAAACTGAGGTAAGCATTCAGCAGCATTTACAGAAGTGTGGGGGTCCAGCTAGCAGCATTTACCTGGTCACACAGTGATGGGAAACTGCCATTATATTTACGAGAATTAGTGTCACGCCCCGCTCCGTCCGCTCCTAATGTGTGCCACGCCCACCTCATTACCTCGTGTTCATCCCTGATTGTTCTCACCTGTGCTTCGTTACCCTTAGCCTGTCTCCTGTATTTAGTCCGTGTCTAAGTCAGTAGTCCCTAATTCCGTCATTGTATTGTTGTAATGTTCAGTCGCCGTCAGTCCTGTGTGCTTTAATAAACCCCGTTTGCCCGTCTCACCGGCTTGACTCTCCTGCTTCACCGCTCTCTCGCAGGCGATCACAACAATTAGGATATTGCTTTTCATTTTGTTACAATGAACTTAAGACGGCATCCCATCCAGACTGAGCCCCTGCCTTGTACGCTGTGCTGCTGGGGATAAACTGCAGGCCTGTTTGGAAGATGGATGGATGGACGGATGGATTTTACAAAACAGTATAACATGTTGTGTGAAAATCTTGAGCTATTTTTATGCTCTTTGTTAATGTCTCCTCTTCCTCACGTTTCCTGTGTAATAGTACAGATGTGGTTGACCTGTGTTGCTATAAAGCATGTATGACTTTACTGTTCAAATCTACCCTCTTATTCAGATCCTTGGTCCAGCTGGCTCTGTATGTAGGACTAGGCTTATTGGTGCTGCTATTGATCATCATCTTCATCACATGGAAAGTATGGGACAAACACAGTGAGTATCTGCTGATGCAGACAGTGAATAAGTGACCTGAGTCTTTGATAACATGTTTTAGTCTATTTTGTTTTGCTTTAGAGTGGTATCACAACATGCTAACTTAATTAGGACCCCCCCTCCCCCCACGTACTCTGTACCTGACAGGACTCCCCCTCCCCCCACTCTGTACCTGACAGGACCCCCCCTCCTCTCAGACTCTGATTTAGCCCCTGGATATATGTACATGCTAATTCAGAGACCCTTTGTTTGTTAGACAGTAAATTATTATCATTTAAGAGCAGAGACACTGGTGGGAGCAGAATGATTTTTTTTGTGGCTTTTTTCCTAATTTCTTTTCTTGCAGAGAAAAAAACAACAATGAGTCAAAATCAGGGAAACACAGATTTGACAGTAAGTTCATATTTAATACAGAAAGTACAGAAAAGCGTTTCTTAACCCGGCCGCTGGTCTCTACAAGCTTTGAAAGAGTCGTGAGCCCCAGTTGGAAAGTGGTCATTGCTTATTTAAAATCAGAAACTGACACATTTTTTCAATTTGTAGTTCGCATGATGTTGAATTTGAGAGGACTGGCTACACTGAAAAAGTTAATTTAAATGAACTCAGTTGAATCAGGGACAGTGGTTCCCTACAATTAGAATGAATATTCTGAAAATGAAACTTTCTATTTAAGTTGTGATGAATTCACTTTGTGTTCTAAGAACATAGTACAGTTGCGTTAAGCTCACCAAATTTTCTCATGTCTAATTAAACCCACTGAATTGGTTATTATAGATAATAACCTTCTTATTTATGTTTATGGTTCAACCTGTTTTACAGGCTAAACTGAATAAATTACTTACATTGAGGCAACTTTAAATATTTCATGTGATCCATTACTTCTAATATTTTAAATTGATTAAACTTTTTCAGCATTTTATTTTTTCAGTGTACTGTACAGCCATTCTGCCACTGATTATATACCTAATTTAAGTTGAATGGAAGTGATTCAATTGGTTTGATTAGACATGAGAAAATTTAGTGAGATTAACTGAACTATATTCTGTTTTCAGGACACAAAGTGAATGCATGAACTTAAAAAGAATGTTTCATTTTCAGAATAGTTATTGTGGAACTACTGTGCATGATTCAATAGTGTTTATTCAAAGATTTATATATAACAACTAATTCATTTACATTGCATCAATATAAATATTTAAGTAATACCAGCAAGTAAGATGAATCCTTTATTTTAGTGATTGTTTTACTACAAAATGTCCACTACAATAGACATAAATGAATGGGTGGGGTCTCAGGAGGATATAGGGTCACGACTGAGCTGGCAGGTTAAAAATTGGGGCGAGAGGTAAAGTAGTTGAGAATCACTGGTCTAGAAGATTCTGCAGGGTTATTACGTCTTTTATAAGAGAACATAAACAGAAATTAAACTGTGTTGACAGCCACTCACTCATTAAAAGTTATTTTTTGTAGAGTAATATGATGTGAAACTGACTTGAGGAGTGATTGTTTGAACGCTGAGCTGTGACTTTGTTCTAGCTGAACCCAGACCCTGAATATGCAGCAATAGGCAACATCAAGAGAGACCCCCCAGGGCAGGTAAAGTGCAGGAATAAAATATATACAGCGAGGATTTTGAGAGCAGTCTGTGTATCTATATGTAAAAAAGTGATATTATTTTATGTCACACATTTTCATAAGACAGTTGTTACACTGTGGTTAAAGAGTTTTCTTTAATGGAAATTCATATTGTACAATATCGGTAAACATACAAATCATTAACTAATACGTCAGATTATCATCAAATTCACCAACAATGATGTTCCATTGCTGTCAGTCAAAGAATGGACAGGTGGTTCTGTATAGATACATGGTCATAATGTGATCCTCTCTCAGGCCTCTGAGGAGCCTGGTGCTGATGTCACCTACAGCTCCATTGTCCTGTCAGACCCAGAGGTAAGATGGTTTCATGTAAATCAGTGTTTGGTTCAGGCATAGGACCAGTATCACAATGAGAGTGACACGTATATCAATAATGTACTGACTGGGCAGGAACATCTACACCTCAGCTGATCTCTCAGATCCATGTGTATCAGAATTAGCTGTAATGTACCAAGAAGTACCATGATACCCTGATATTTCACAGTGATTCACATGGGAGGTTTGGGAGTTTATGGATTTGTGGTTTCTGTACAAAGGTTGGTCTTGTACCTCCACTGTAAGCAGCTAAATGTTCTCAGCAGGTGTCCTCTAGATGTTCTTCACACCGTCCTGCTGTAACCCCAGCCAGCGATGTGGTCTACAGCTCAGTCGCCCTGAAGCACAGAGAGGTGAGTTTGGATAATCTGCTCTAACATGAGCTGTGATACATTTAGTGTCTGATGCTGCAAACATGTGATATGTTTCATTTGACTCTGTGTACAGCCACAATTCCAACATCATACACTCAAAAAAATATTTAGGCCTAATATTTAGGATTTATGTAATTTAATTGCATATAAAATTTCCATGCATTTGGATTACATAGTTTTAAAGAAAGCAAATTAATAAACGTAATATAATGTGTATTCATCAGTTTAATATAAATAAAACAATTACGAATGAGATTTATGTAATTGTGTTAATATGTCCAATGTTTTTTAAATAGATAATAACTAAGATTATGCATTTACAATACATACAATTTGTTTTAAATTCATATGAACCAGATTTATGTATAAATTTTTTATAAAGATTATATAAAACTCATTAATAAATTCAAAATGTTTAAAATGCATTTATAGAAATTATATTTATGCAATTCTCCCAATGGATCAAATGTAAAAAAAGACAACTGTTTCACATTTTAACCATTTATTGATACTGAAATGCATGTAAAACTACACAGCAAATGTGCCAGTGTTAAATTAGCACTGCATGGTGTCTATATGGGTCCACACCATTCAGTGTTACCTTTAACACTTTACAGTGTGCAGTGAGTGTTCTTTTTACAATATTAATCTTTATTAACTGTAATAGTGTTCAATTTACACCATAGGGTAAATCAATGAGTCTCCACCTCCACATATCTGACCCATTTTAATATGCGCACAAGTCATGAGGATCAGAAGAGCCATCCCAGATTTACCCACCATCATGAGAAAGACTCTGACCAAAAAGGACCTTACAAATTTTTCTTATTTTGTATTGAAACTTTGCTGGCTCATTTCTGACTGTTGTTGGAGAGTCACAAGCTATGCTCTTGATGGCTTTTTCTGCCCCAGATGTGTGTTTTTGTAACATGTTAACATCAAGGCTGAAGAAGAACTCTTGTAGATGTATTGGGCACATCTCCTGAGTGGCATTTGTTTTGTAAGAATATGGTTGCATTTGATGGCTGGTCCTGCCCTTGGATGATGTATTTGCATAACATGATACGGTACTGTCTTTGACTTGAGTTTTTTTTTTTTTATTATTCACCGTGATTGTGATGAATAGGGCAAGAGAACAAAAAATGGCTTTTGTGCGACTAGGCTATATAGTTTAGCTTCTATGGCTTATCTAGAGAAGGCATGTTACTATGAAAAACCAGTTATTTTATTTCTCTTCTAAGTCTAGGCTTTCTAGAAAGGACATATGTACCTCTACAGTTGAGGTTTCTGTGGGGATGCACATAAACAAGAAATACACTACTCAGACAAACAAAGATACACAGGCAACCCAGAAGAACTAATAACAGAAATGTGCTAAAGACTAATATCAGTGCCATACCATCCTCAATCGTGGTGGGTTTCTAAAAATTAAGCTTAATGAAAATCTGAATATTAAATGA